GGTAGGATAATTTGGTTTAGAATTTAATTTAAGTTTTAATTTTAATTTTGGAAAATAGAAAAAAAAAGAATTGTGAAATTGAAAAAAAGAAAAAGAAAGAAATAAGAGGGTTTAAATCTAGGCCAAAATCAACCCAGATTTCCCCAGGTCAAACATAATCACCCATGCACCCTGCCGAAACCCACGCCTCACCCGGTCCAAACCCCCCAACTAAGTCAAACGACGCCGTTTTTTTCTTGTTGATCTGGACCGTTGATCTCAGTTGATCAAACGGTCCGCAACTCAGCCCTTACCTGATATATATCTGTCCTAATGCCCTACCCCCCATTTCATCATTCCAAACACCCCCGTCTATCAGAGAACACAAGCCTAACCCTAGTTGAGCCGCCCCTAAATCCGCCATCGTCCGGTGGCGGCACCACCTCCAAACGCCACCAAAACAACACCCCATGACCCCCCACTCCCCTCTTTCTAAATTCCGGACCAATTTCCTTCGAATCTGCCCAGAACTTCTCGAATCTTGATCTGAAGAAAAGAACCCTAAAATCCCAAAGTCCAAATCAACGGGTGTGCTAAAGATTTCAGACTGTAATGGACTTTATTCGGGTTTTTTCACATGAAAACACACGATTAAGGGCTATTCCGGTCAGGAATTTGAAAAGCCCTTCAAAGTTTGTCGAATCGGCTCCTGGCTGGTGTTAGGTATCTTCTTTGTTCGTTTTGTTTATTTGTTTATCTTTTCTTTTGTGTTTCTGCTTCATCTCTTCTTCTGGGTTTTGTTTAGTTGTTCCGGAGTTTTGTTATTCATGCATGATTAGTTCGGGATCCTTTTTTAATTAGTTAATCGTCTAGTAGTTCAGTTAATTCCCTCTATTTGTGTCAGTTAGTAGTAATTTAGTTTAGGGTCTTAGTTTTAAAAATTGTTCCAGTACTTGGATGGTTCTGTCTCTCAGAAGCTCATAGAATTTAGGGTTGTTAATGTACGAATTGGGCTTTAGTCTGTTGTTGACCCATCTCGAAAATGTAGCCCATTTAATTTGGTCTATATCCTTGGGTCTATTTGACCCGTTTGGATTTCTGAAGTAATTTTCAAAGGGTTAAGGGGTAAATTAGGTAATTGATTTAGGGAATCTAGGGTGTAACTGTTTGGGAAGCTTCTGGGAAGCTGGGGAGGGGACTACTTTGCAAAAGCAGAATTTAAACTAGGGGTGTTTAAGCTAAAAGGAAAATCAAAAAAGGGACCAAAGGGCAAAAATGAACTCTTAAGGCTGCCCTGTTTTCTTGCCTATAAAGGCATCATTTTCTTGCCTTTCAAGGCAGACCCAGGAGACTTGAAAAAGAATAAAAATTCTAGAAAACAAAAACAGCTGAAACTTCTACAGAGAATACTGTTTCATTGGGTTTTAGCTTTGTAATCTGAAATCCTCTTCTTTCTGAATAGATGTTCCTGATTGTTTGAGCTTAGAAATGGTTTGAAACTTAGTCATTAAGGTTGGTTCTGAGGGCAGCTAGTTTAATTGTGTGTTTGAGACTGGTTTCTGGGCTGCAATACTTCATTTCTGGGCTTTTGAACATGTTTTGTTGGTCTGTTTCTGTTACTGGAACCTGCTGCTGATTCCGTGTTGTCTACTGCTGATTTTCCCTTTTTCTTATTTCGTTTAATTCCAGGTATTCCTTGATTCTATAGGAGATAAAATGCAAGTATGAGAGCTATAATTACATGAAGATCTCCATGAATGAATACTGTTTTCCTTTTTTTAATCATCAATATTAGCTGTTTACTTGGAATTTCTGGAGTTTAGTGGTATATTATAATGGCATTTAGCCTAATCTGTCCATTTTAATATAACAGTAGTATGTTACTCCTTAGAAAACTCATGTTGCCTTTCGTTTGTGATGAAAACACATGGTCTGATGGTTTGATTGTATGTAAGTAGTTCAGAACATTTGGATCTTGTATATAGGGACTGTGATTTAAGCCATTCACTGTTTGTTATGCATATTTTCAAGCATGTGGTTAGACTCTGTTGAGTTTTAGCTTATTATTTAGTTTTTGTCTGAAATCAGAATGCATGCGATTAAAAGGGGTAACTGCCTGCTTTGGTGGGAATAAAATTTTATGAATACTGGTCTGATTGGCATAAGTCTCTGGGTACTCAAGGTAATTGGGTGCATGCATTGGGTTGAGAATGAATTTTTGACTTGTTTAGATATGTAAAAACTTTCTATGGTAGGATAAGGTCAAAATGCATTACTCATTATGATACAAGTTTAAAACTAGATCAAACATGCTGTCCATGATGAGAATTCCATTGTCATTGCTTGCTAAGAAAAACGAGCCCAGAGGTTGTTTGCACACATATTGGTTTTTTTTATTGTTGAATATCGCTGGTTTTTGGCCAGCCGAGACTCGATACTGAGTTCTCCACTCAGACCTGTTGAGGCTTCGAAATTGGGCTCATTTATGGGCCCAAGCTTAACAGCTTCTTTCGAGTATGATTTCGGTCGTAATTGCGGCCCAGTCATGCCCAGGCCTTTCACTAGCCTTTCTGGCTCTGGACTTCACATAGGAAGCCCATTTGTGGTCTTTGATTGTTAATTAAACGACCATAGGGAACTTTAACTTCATCGAGTGCTAAATAATTCAGCCTTTAAAACAATTGAGGTGAACGATGTTAATGACGCCAATAGTTTATGGCCCTCATAATTTTAAAAATAAAAATTTTAGGCAATTAGATTTGAGGCGTGCCATTTAGCGATTTCCCAGGGCCCTCGTAAAATTAAAATGCGTAGTCGCTTTAGGGCGCGTTATTTAATGATTTTACTTTCTTAAACTCGGGTGCGCATTTCATGTGACCCAAGTCAAATCTTAAAATATTGAATGAAATATATTTAGGACTGCGGGTGCATTTCATGTGGTGCGATCCAAAGACGTGTTTTAAACGACGTTCAATCTTCTTTTTAAAATAATTAAAAACGGTTAAAAGTTAAAATTATACCATATGTTAAAACATGTACTAAAATCAGATAATAGACCAATTATAACAGTTGAGCGACCGTGCTAGAACCACGGAACTCGAGAATGCCTAACACCTTCTCCCGGGTTAACAGAATTCCTTATTCGGATTTCTAGTTCGCGGACTGTTAAACAGAGTCAACCTTTTCCTCGATTCGGGATTTGAACCGGTGACTTGGGACACGATAAATCTCTCAAGTGGCGACTCTGAATCTTTTGATAAATAAATCCCGTGTCGATTCTCCTTTAATTGGAAAAACTCTTTTTATACACCCCTCTCGGGGGTGTAGGTGAAAAAGGAGGTGTGACAACCAGTTTTGATGGAACAGGGGGAACATGACTTTTTGAACACATTGGCTTATTTTTTTTTGTCTTTTTTTTAAAAAAAAAATTCGGTAGAGTTTCGGATTTCAAATACCTACCTATCACTCTTTTTTTTCATTTTTTTTCTTTTCCTATTCTAGAAGCCAGTCAACATGCAAGCCGAAACAAAAAAATGCACAGGTAACACGTAAAATGCATCAGGATAGTTTTTTTAATTTGGGCACACCTGTCCTAGACGGATCCAACCCCTGCGTTGAGTCCCCAAAGTCAAATGCATGTGATGCAAACAAACGTTCCTACTAGGAATCCAACATGAGGCTATGTTATTCTAAGATTAAATCCTGGAGTGTATTGTTCTAGACCTGGCTTACCCGAGCGGACAACTCGAGCCGATGAGGGGCAGTGTACAGGGAATATAGAAGCTTCACCAGCTTTGCAACTTATCCGATCCTCGTTCTAAAATTAGGATATGACTCCAACAGAAAAAAAAGTCATGCCAGAGTACACTTCCCAGAAGATTTTGAAGACTCAGAGAGAAGAAGGGTTTCGTAACAGTTTTATATACAGTTCACATAATATCAAAGCGGCATTTAGCATATTAGGATCAAACACGTAAAAATCAGATAATAAGCAAAAGCAAAGTATCACAGTTATTCTAAAATCGAATTATGAACCATGAACCAGAGATTCTGGGTTTGATTCTCCCAGCAGAGTAGCCAGATCTGGCACACCTCATTTTTCCCGAGGGGTAGGGAGTTTTTTCAATTAATGTATCATTGTTCGAAATGAGATTATTTATTGATTCAGAGTCGCCACTTGAAATAATTTATGGTGTTTCAAATCACCGATTTATTTTAAATACCAAATCGAGGAAATTTGACTCTTATTTATGGTCTGCGAATACAGAAGACCGAGTAAGGAATCTTGTTAACCCGGGAGAAGGTGTGAGGCACTCCCGAGTTCCGTGATTTTAGCACGGTCGCTCAACTATTATTAATTGGCCTAATTATCTAAATTATTATATGGTCAGAACCTATTGTGTATTTTTAACTTTCTAACCGCTTTTATTTAACCATTTTTAGTATTTATGGAATATGTTTGAATAAGCCGCGATGTCGCGCACTCATTTGTTTTTGTAAAAACTGCGAATCCATCACGTGAAATGCACCCACGATTTACAACATGTTTATTTTATTATTATCTGATGTTATGGTCGAGTCATGTGAAACGCACACTCGAATTAGGATTTTGTATCATGACTATGCCACGGGAACCGTACCCATAGTCACGATGATTTATTAATTGCGCATAAATCAAGCTTGATGTTCATGAATAATTATTATTCCTATGTTTAAGATCGATCATGAAGGTCCAAAGTTTATGGAAAAGCATATGGCAATGCTTAACTAGACAACTTCAATTATTTAACAAGTTCAAATTAATGTCTTTTGTTTTTCCTTCAAATGTTGATGGAGCTCACGTCAAACAAGGAAAACCACTAATAATAAACTAAGTGGGTGTTCTTTTCTTGATTACTTATATCAAACATGGATTATTGCTAGAAAAATTATGGGAAGCCTCACTGCGCTGGGCCTTCATATTAAACCTCCAATTAGGTCATGCAAACAAGAACAGAAATGGGTTCACTGGAATCCGAAAGTGACTCTTGAAAATGGCTAGCCCTTTAAGTAGGCCAACAAATCTTTTGTGGGGCCTTAAACCATTAATCCATACATTTGTCGAGTCCAAACTGACTCTCATTTCATACACGATCCATCGACGTGTAGTTTTCTTAACGTGATTTTGAAAGGCATAAATCAATTAATACACATGTTTATACTACAACATATTCAATATATTGAAGAAACAGAACCAAAGAAGAACGTATCCACACATGTAATTTCTTCTAACAAACTACAGTATCATTCATTATTACATTCACAATTACCAAGATCTAGAGCATATAACAAATTTACATGCTTTCAGTTCCATATGACCTTCAACGAATGACCTTCAGCTATCCAAATTTCCTATGACTTTACCTGTTTCTCATTAAAGATTTATCCAAATACTTAATTTTTCTAGTAATTTCAGAGATTAAAAAAGGAAAGAACTTCAAATAGATTTAGACTTTAGACATGTTGAATCCAAACTATTGAACATGATTAGAGAAAGCAGTATCATAATCTTAACATGGAAACAATTCAAAATGCTTAACAACTACACATGCTAAGTCTATGCATTTGGACATAATTATGACAAATAGATCGAATTTTCTCATATAGACTTCAAACAGGGGCAACAGATATGTGAACATACCTAAGTAACCAAAGAATAACAGAGAATGGTCAAAGGATGGTTTGAAAATGAAATAGGAAATCCAGCAAGTCCAGCAGCAGTGGATTCAATAACTTCAACACCTCTAACAGCTCAATCGACTCAGAGAAAACCAGAAAATATAGTGATTGAATAGAAATCAGAAAACCAACTCTAGACATCCTTCTTCATCCCTTTTTATGACCTTTTTCCTTGCCTTTTTGGGAGTTTTAAACTTTTTCTAAATCTGAAGACTAGAGGTTGAAATCCAGAGTTTTGTTTGAATTAAAAAAAATGAGGAGAAGATAGTGAATTCTCTTAAAATTTCTCTCGACAGTGTGAAAATTTGTCTCAAAAACGAAGAAAAGAGTATGAATTTCAGAGTGTGTTTTCGTGTGTGTGAGTGAGTAATATATGGCCCTCTTATATAGAGTGTGAGAATATGTTATGTGCACACAAAAATTAGAGAATAATTCTGGAATGTCAGTCTCTAAATTTTAGGAAAAAAGCATTTTTTTTCAACTGAAAATTGACAGTTGTCCCTGTTTCTAGATAATTCTTTTTATTTCCTACCTTTTAGCTTCTGAAAATCACCTCTTTTAACCCCAAAATGACCTAATTCTTTCATCTTATTGCATTTTAGCCCTTTTTCTAGAAGCTTCTTCTAAGATTTCAACAGATGAAATTGTTCTCATCTTAATCAAACATGTACTGCCCTTCTTATGGGCAGTACCCAGACATCTGGGCTGCCTGGCCAGCAGACCCAACTCTTCAAGCTAAAAGCCATGTCCAATGGGCTTGCCTGTGAATACAGCATGCCCAACGTCTTAATAAAATACACCAATCAAATCTGCTAGTTGGCTGAATTAATCCTTAATCTAAATATGCAGTTAATTCTTAATCTAATCATGAAATTGATTCCCAATATAAGAAACAACAAATTAAGAGTTATTACCATACTATGTGAACTTGAAATTACTAAATACAGCAAAAAGAAAAAGAAAAAAAAAATGATAAACTAAGATATGGAATAATAAAATACTGACTAACAAGGAAAGAAGATCGAGCTACCTACTGGCTCCAAGTGAAAAGAGTGAGAAGGAACTCCCCAAAACTGTACAGGCTCAAGTACGAAATGTCCGATTACTACCTTGAACTTCAGCGGCTTCGAAATGAACTAAAACTGACATAAATCGATTGCTCTCGTCATGAGCAAACGATTCACGTAAGTTTGAGCCAAATCGAATCAAATCTCAAAGATAAACAAGAAAAAAAAAACAGTTATGATTTTTGGGATTCTAAGATAAAAAAATTGTGAGATTTGAGTGGCTTTTTGGGGAAATTGATGAGGGGCTAGGGATGAGGAGGGTGAGGATTATGGGGTGTTAATTTGGGGTGTTTGGAGTGGCGCTGTAATAACCTGACCGGTCATTTTGAGCTTTTGCACTTTGCTTGCCAGTTCTCGGGCATGGCTAGCCCCGTGTGATGTATTATAACTCATGTAAACCGTTGGTTTTGATTTTTAGGGTAATCAAAATGAATTTTGAAGGACAGTTCTCAGTTTGAAGCTTGAAATTTGAAAGGTTTGACCAAGATTTAACTTGTTTGAATATGATCTTGGATCAGAGTTTTTATGATTTGGTTAGTTTCGTTAGGTGATTTGAGATTTAGGTACGTGATCGGAATACACAACAAATTTGTAGGCACGTGTCGCGAAAGCGTAGTGTATTCTCATGGCAGCAACAAATTTCTCTTTGCGATCGCAAAGTGTGTCCCGCATTCGCATAGTGTTAGGGAATGACTTCTTCGCGTTCGTGTATGGCATATCGCGTTCGCATAGAGTCAGGCTAGGAGCTGTGCTGGAGGGCCTTTCTTCATCGCGTTCGCGAGTCTTGGGACGTGTTCACATAGCTCTGTATCCAGTGTGTATCGCGTTGTGCGAGGCTGGTGCCGCGAACATATAGAGGATTTTTGATGGCTGGTGTTTTTGTTCATCACGAACATGATGGTTATCCCACGTTCGCGAAGAATATTTTTGATGCCTGGGCAGAATGTTTAAACAGCCATTGTCCGCGATTTTGGGGCTAACGTTCACCATTTTTGGGCAATTTTTGGAGCTTTTAAGAAGGATTGAAGAGGGAATCGAAGGTAAACACTTGGAGGTAAGATTTTTGAACTCAATACTCGATCCTATGTTGATTCTTACAAGTTTAATCATGAAATATGTGGAAATTAAAGCCTAAAATTGGGGAATTAGGGCTTGAATTTGGACAGTGTAAATTGGGAATTTGAAGGGGCAATTGAGGTCCGATTTTGATACCCTTGGTATGTATACACTCGTGAGAGGATGAGGATTTTATTGATGTGACTTTTATCGGATTCCGAGACGTGGGCCCGGGGGCCGGGTTTGAGCAATTTCGGGATTTTTGATGTAAATTGGATATTTTCGAGTGGGCTTTATTCCCTTAGCATATTTTAATGGTATGTTCTGATTATGGCTAGATTTGGAGCATCCGTGGGTCGATTCATGAGGGCAAAGGCATCGCGGGCTAGAGTTTGGACCGGATCAAGGTGAGTAATGATTGTAAATGATGTCCTGAGGGTATGAAACCCCGAATTGCACGTCGTTGTGCTATATTGAGGTGACGCACACGCTTGATGACAAGCGTGGGGTCGTGCGCTGTTGGTGATTGGGCCTCGTGCCAACTATTTGAACCCTTCGAGAATTTTTATTGATATTCCTTACTGTTTAAACTTTATACTTGAACTCAGTCATGTTATATTCTACTATTTTCATACTCAGCCATGTTTACTATGTTTTAACACTTAAATGATCTTTTAAATTTTAATTGGGCTGAGAATCATGTTTTACTACTGTTGAGTGGCTTGTGAGGATTCTTGACTGAGTAAGGCCGAGGGCCTATGTTGTGAGGAAACACTGATCATGATTTGAGGCCGAGGGCCTGAGATATGTACGCCACGAGGTGGCTTGTTAATATAAGGCCGAAAGCCTAGTGATGATGCCACGAGATGACTTGATATTGCGATTGGGCCATAAGGGGCCCCTCTAGGAGTCTGCACGCCCCCAGTGAGCGCGGGTACCCATTATGATGTGAGATATAGCCCGAGGGGCTGATATTGTTCTGAGATATTGTCCGAGAGGCGGATTTTTTGACTTTGTGCCCGAGGGGCGAACCATTATGTGTTTATCTTTCTTATTTGTTTGCTATTTACCTGTTTAATTGTTGAAAAGGTATTTCCCTGAAGTTTAACTAAACTTAAATGATTTTTTCGTATTTTTATTGGTTTTACTGCTTTATTATAGCCTGTAATGTGCCTTACGTGCTTTTTTATATCTCAGTCATTTATTTATGATTATTACTTACTGAGTTGGAGTACTCACTTTACTCCTTGCACCTTGTGTGCAGATTCAGGAGCATCTAGTCCCGCTCCCGAGTGTTAATCTTTCCAACTCAGGCGGATCCGAGGAGTCTCTAGGTAGCTATCGGCGTTCGCACCCCAGAGCTTCTTCCCTATCTTATTTCTCCTTGTCGTAGTTTTGTATTGAACTCTGTAGACTTTTCTTGATTATTCCGGATTTTAGATGCTCATGACTAGTGACACCCCGGTATCGGGTTGTGTTGGTTTTTATTTCTGCAAACTGTACTGTTAACTTCTTATTATTTGGGATTTTATTGAGTTTAAGACTTAATTCTTATTGTTTAATTGCTTAAAACTGAAATGGGTAAGTGTCGGCTGGCCTTGTCTTCATGAGAGGCCCCATTACGACCGGGTCCGGGGTTAGGATCGTGACAGTCATCGCCTTCGTGGATGATTTTTGGCGGCGGAGATGGCTGAGGTGAGAGAGAGGTGAGGGAGATGAGTTTTTGGGAGGTCTATAGGGTTTGGAGGAGGGGAGGTCCAATTCAGACAGTTATAAGGGGGTTAGGTGATGAGTTGTGGACCGTAGGATCGATAAGAGATCAACATATGAGATTTGTTTGGGGTGAAACGCGGTCGTTGTAATTAAACGGGGAGATGGACCGGTTTGGTTGGTGAAGATTGGGCTGGAAGGTGAGTTTGGCCGGGTTATGTAGTTGGGCTGATGGCCTTTAGCCCAATTTGCACACAAGGCAAATGGTCTCTTTCCTTTTTTTTTGATTTAAAACTCTAATTTCATTAATTTAAACAAGCTAAATAAAATCCTAAATTAGACTGTAACTTAAATTACTTTCTAAAATTAATCTTACTTATTTTAACAAATTTAACACAAATTAATTTAAAACTAAAAGCTAAAATATAGACATCACTACTGTATTTTTTATGTAATTTTTGTTTAATAATGCAATTAAGATCTAACATGCTATGTAATGAAGCATTGAATATTTTTGGTGTTTTTCTATGATTTTAATTATTAGATGTGCACGAAAAATGCAACTAATTGCAAATAATTTAGCGAAAATTCCTAAAATTTTATAAAAATTAAAAATAATTGGGAAAAAATCTATTTGTTGATTTTTGTGGGAGTATTTTTCATCGGGCAAAAATTACGTGCTCACAACTACATATATTATGAATTAGAATTTAATATTTTCATCATAAATGGATAGAATATCACTATCGTAATAAAATTGATAATTCTATCATAAGGAATGAATCTAATTGAATTAAAAATTTGGCCTACACACAATTTTTATGTTAGTAAATTCAATTTTTCATGATTTACATTTGGTGATTCATGATATTAATTTATTTGCCTCACATTTATGATAAACATGTATAACTTTTTTTTTTTGCGTTATGCAACATGTGATTTTTTTGATATCTCTGATATTCCCGAACTTAATGGTGAGAATAATAAGATTTAGAAGGAGAGAATTCTTCTTCACTTAGGGTGCATGGGTATTGATTATGCTATTAGGAAAGACGAACCACATAATCACTATTATTTTTAGCCCCACGGTGGGCGCCAAACTGTTTACCGTGAAAATGGTAACAACAACTAAATTTATAAATAAGACTCTAAAAATATGTGATCTATTTTTATGCTAGTTGTTAGAGCAGTAGATGCTAAGAGTATGATGTTAAACAAAGAAATACGAGCTAAAGCGGGGCAGTAACAAAACCGAGATGCTTGCAGCCCGAGCCTTGGACTGGTCAATGAAGGACCTCGAGGTCGATATCTGGCTCGAGCTCGAGCTATCGGAGGTAGTCGGGAATGTGATAACAGTTAAGGTATGATCAAATAAGGCTATTTATGGCCAATACCAAGCAATATATGAAGAACAAGTATGAAAGCAATAAACGCTAAGGGTGGCCTCGAGCTAGTGAGGACGAGCAAGTTAGAGAGAAGAAAGAGAGAGAGATATTATTGATATTGTGTAGAGTAGTTGGAGCTCTGCCTTACAGAGTGTTA